CTCAAAACCCTCATGTTTGAGCGCATGCTTGAAACAGCACGTTTGAAGGAAGCCACCATTCTCAGCAGGACCCAAGGTGAGAGCAGAGTTGAACACATCTCCTATGACAACCCTGGTGCCTGGAAGGAGTGATCTTTGGCAGGTAGAAAGCAGGGAAAAGAAACACATGACAGGCATAAATGTCAGCTCTAACATGATTCATGCAACCAATCTCCAACAGTTTGGTACTGGGAGGATATCCTGATTCACTGCTTCCTGCTGACAGGAAATAAGTTTACTGCTGCAGATTTCAGTGACAGCAAAAGCCAACGTCAACTCAAAATGCCCTTCCTGAAAGTAAGATTCAACTGAGTAACATTATGCATAGAAAGAAGGATGATGAAGTCAGGGAGCAACAGTGCTCTGGCAACACCTTCCTTACAGTATGTTTTTCTCTTTAAAGAGCCCATGGAGCCAACCATCCAGTGTCATGTGCAGCAGGAATAATTCAGCATACAAATTCAGAGAGCAATTAGTATTATTGTTATTATTATTTGAATCAGATAAAAGGACACTCCAGGGGTTTGTAATTTTGTGATCACAGGGAAAGAGCCTCACAGGCAGGGCAGAAAAGTTGCCCCAAATGATGGCACAATTGGAGGTTACCATTTCTCCTCTGGTAGGGTGGATATGGCTAAATTAATATTTTCATGCAATTACGTTTCCCATGTTAAATATTCATACATCAACTCCTGCTGCTTCTAGTTGAGGTGGGCACATTCCCTGCCTGCTCCATGGCTTCTGAGCTAAACCACTGAGGAAGGAAGCAGCCATCTGGAAAACGCACGAGGCAGAACTGGCTGCTTGAAGGGACCAACTCTGCGATGCGGAGCCTTCTGTGTCCAACTGGGTCCAGCACTGGAGTGGCTGGCAAAGAGCTCTCTACCTGCTGAAAGGAGCTTGGTGTGCCAGGTCCTGCAGGGAGATGTCACCTGAACCTCCGTCCAGAGCAGAGGCTGGGATGCTCCCAGCATCACAGAGCAGGGGAATTGCGGTGGGATCGCCCTGCATTTGCCAGGGGAAAAACACCTGAAGGTTTCTGAACGCCAGGATCACCTTGGTACGTTCTAGAGGCCTCTCTGGCCATATCCATGTGGTCACTGCTTTTCCTCCCCAGCGCTTCAAACCCTTTCCCTATCCTGGAGAGCCAAAATAGCAAAGGATTTCCTGGCAACCGAGAGCAACGACCTCTTGTGCGCAAAACAAACTGTCAGGACAGCTGAGGCCAAGGGCTGAGCCGAGTACGCAAACACTGCCTGAGCACTGCTTCTTCCAGGAACTGTTATCCATCCTGCGCAGATAGCGCTCCGTCACCACGCAGTCAAACGTGGGACAACATCGGGATGCAGCCTAAACACGTTACATCTTTTAGCTCCAGCTGCTCTCAGGTCTTCGCCACCCGGGCCTGCTGACCTGGCTGTGTCCTAGATGTGACGGTTGCGACATGGATTCACATCAGATAAAGCTACAGAGCCTCACAACGATGCACAAACCCAGCATATGCTGAGAAAAGCAATGGCATGATTTTAAGTATGATTTCAAATGAAGAGAGGGGAAAAAGGGGGGGGGGGGGGGAACCTAGTTAAGGATTGCTATTTTTATACGAACATTAATACACTAATGTGTAGTTCGGTGGTGAAAATGACTAACAGCACAGCAAGGTTCCATATTTACTTGCTGTCACTGATTTCAGAGCAAATTGGCTCAGGTTAAAAGTCAAAGCAGGATTCTTCTGCTGCCAGCACTGCACACTTCAAGACATATCTGAAAATCAGGCTTCTTACCTTATCTTTGTTAAAAGACTCTGCAATCCAAATGTAGCTGACAGTTCAGTTGATGCACGAGCAGAAATAGATGCCAGCTCACTCTCCCATAGCCAGAGAAACTCTGTAAAGCTAACAGGAGTTTAAAACCATTTTGTCAGAAAAATAAGTGGTTCTGACAGGCGCAGGGAGCAGGCAGATGAGAATACAGCCACCTAATGCTGGGTACCACAGGACAGGAGCATCTTGAAGCATCTCTCCAGCAGCCTCACTCCAAGGAATTCAACACAGTCTAGTGTGAGATGTCCCTGTCCATGACAGGGGGCTGGAATTGGATGATCTTAAGGTCCTTCCCAACCCAAACCATTCTATGATCTTAATGTTCACAGCACCAAAGACGGGAATGGTGAGATGCTGGGGTAGGAAGGGTAAAATAACTGGGAGCAGAATCCACGCCTGTGCACCTCCAGCCTTCACCCTTACCCATGGCCCAGCTACGCCATTTAACTTTAAACAAGCCTGATTCTAACAGTGGCCAGATACTCTGCAGGTCTTCCTTGAGAGCGCTGCAGTGTGGAGAGAAGTGCTGCAGATCACCCTGAAAACCCCACAGTGGTGCAGCCACTCCGACTGGAATCTTGTGGTGCAGGTTTTATACTAACAGAGATCATCCTTCCACCCTACTAGTGTGCTCTGCCCACTTCCATGGTGTAATTTCCAGGGAAATCATCACACATCTGAAACAGCTGCAAGTATAAAACATATTTACCCCACTGGAGGGCATGGAATGGGATGTTTAGCACAGTGCATCTTATCCCAAGCATCACACATGAATAAATAAAGCTTCTCAAAGGACCACAGCTAGTGGGTTTAATGAAAGGGCTTTCAGGTTGCAATGATTGTGAATTACAGCAATCAGAAGACTTCTGTACAAATAAGCCACATGAGAACATGGGAGAATCTTGATGAAATTGATGCCCTAGCAATAGAGCCTGGAGGGCACCAATGACAAGGAAGAAAGTTAAGACCAAGTCACCAGATCGAAGTCCAAGTGAGTGGTAACGCGGCCCTCCTGTACAGAGCAGCCCTGCACTTACTTGGGTAGTGGGCAGCTCTGATCTCCGGCTATGAAGCAGCATGGAAACTGCACAGATACCCTCCCAGATGTGAGCTGCTGCCTTCCAAGGCAGAGGAGAAAGGAGATGAACTCGGGTGGAGATACGAGAGGTTTCTGCCAGTGACTTTCCTGCCATCTGGGCAGATGCAGGGCAGGGATGCTGGCTCGGGGCTGTTAAGAGCAGCAGAATGCTATGAAGGAGCAGAAAGTGAGTGTTTATTTTGTATTTCTACTTCGATTAGAGAGAATATTTGATAAAGACCATCTCCCCCCTTCCCCCAGGCTGGCCTCCACGGGAGCATCGCATCCACAACAGGAAAACGCATCACCCTTCAAGAGCTCAACTGCTTCTCGTGCACACAAACACTGTGAAAAGTTCCTCCCCTCCCACATGGAAGCAGCTGCAGAGAAATCTCTGCTTAATATTGACACCTCCAGCCCAGAGAGCACCCAATTTGCCTCCATTACATCCAGTCTGGAATCAGAGATGCACGATGTGACAGGAGGGGGAAGAGGCAACAATGAAGAAGGTGAGTAGTGCCCTGTCCTCCTTTCTAGAAGTCTCTGAAGACAAGAGGGACAGGGCTGCAGGAATGGATTGCCTAATGCTCCCATTCCTTCCCAGCCACAGTTACAAGGAGGAAAAGCTCATCAGGAGTCTGAAATGTACCACGTAGCTTCTTTTCTGCAACTGTCTGCAAATCCTTGTGCTCCCAAGCATTTTCCTTGAGAGTGCTCACCCGCACGCTGCAAGCAAACGGAAGTACTGCCAATTGTTTCAGCATGATAAATGCATTTAAAAGCTTTCAATACTTTGCCTGTTTATAGCACGTTCCTTGAGGAATTTTGACAAGTTTGCCAGAATGGAAAAGTCACAAAACGCTTAAATCCTGCTGAAGTGACTGCAAATTCATTCACAAGTAAGAAACCTGCTGCTCCTGGGGTGTTGAAAGGGGAAGGCAAAGGGCAAACAAGCCCAAACCACTGCTCCTGACCGAGTGAGAGTGGACCAGAGCAGGGGCTGGTCACACAGAGCCTGTGCTGGCAGTACAAGGCACACGTCCAGAACTCCAGATACCTCAGCAACTGGCAACGTGGCTTCCACACAACACGCAGCATTGCACAGCCAGATGTGACTTAACGCTCTTGGTACTTCTGCAGGAACTAAAGAGCCAAGTGCCTCACCTGGAACAACAAAAGGACTTGGTGGTGGCGGCACAAGCAGAGCACCAAGGTTTCTCTCTGTGCTGTGGCTAAACTAAAAGCCAGCCCTTCGTCTAGCATCTCCAGCAGGGCCACCTGCCCTTGCAGTCCAGAGGCCAAACCGGACTGCTGCTCCTCAAGGTTTTGGCCATTCTAGCAGACCTGGGATGCTATTTCCACCTGCAAACATTCATTCCCACATGTACCTTTGCAGCTCCCCAAAGCTGCAAGGTAGGGCACAGTGAGCAGAGCAGGGAAAAGCTCTGAGTGCAAATGAGGAAAGAGGCAACTTATATCCTCCAAGGTCAACAAGTATCCCACTGGAACAGGCAGGGGATGGCACTGAAATGATGCAAGTGGCTCATACAATGAGAGGTAATCTGCTAAAGAGTACAACTAAACAGCCCAGTAAGCACATGGTATAAAGAGCCTTTACTATTGATTCAGACATTCAATATTTTATGGGATTCACATCTTGCTCAACAGTGGAGCAACAAGAGAGAAAATGCTCAGTTTGGTCATGTCCTGCTGTCTATCTGATCAGAGAAACAGCAGCATCGTCAGGTTTGGACTGCCTTCATGTTTGAATAAAGACACTGGTTGGTTTTAGCACTGTTCTCAGACATGCTTGGTGCTAGGTCTGTACACAGGTGATACAGGCTGGGCATTGAGGGATGTTTGTAGGAATGAGATTCCCGGCGATGGGATGTGGGCAGGTAACCCCTAGGAGTTGTATTGGAAGTGTCATAAAAACAGAAAGAGGAAAGAAATCAAGGCCACCACAGGTACCTCAGTGCACTGCAGAGACAGGAACGGACACGGATGTGTGCCCTTCAAAAACCCCAAAGCAACTGCACCCACCCTGCTCCAGGACTCACCAAACATGTTCCCGATGTGGCCGTTCTTGGTCAGCGGTCGCAGTTCGTTTTTCCCAAGTGCATAGAGTTTGTAGTTATCCCAAGCGAATTTCATCATCTGCAGAAAGAAAAATTGAGTGGAAGTGCTTAACAGAACTGCGAGCGTCCCGGGAAGGAGCAGGGGTTTCCCATTCACTGCTGAACCCAACAACCAACCCGTTATAAAACCTCAGCTGGCACCGAACACTGAGCACAGCGCTGCACTCAGCGGTTTGCTGGAGCCTCAGACTCATCCTGGGCAGAGCTTGGGACCGGCACATTCCTGCACTACCCCAATTCCCAGCACGATGGGAAGATGTCTCCATCTCAGAAGTCCTGACCTTTTCCATGGAGCAGCAGTATTTCAGAACCACTGGGGTTGGAAGGGACCTCTGGAGATCATCGAGTCTGACCCCCCTGCCAAGGCAGGGCCACCTCCAGCAGGTTACACAGGATGGGGATTAAAATGGGCTAAAAACCTAAGGCCAAAGCTGAGGCATCCCCGATTACAGGGATGTTCCCTTCTTGGTTTTCCCATTTCTTTATCATAGCGCAAATAAAACTTGATCAAACTGCAAAAGCACTCCCACATGCAGGCCCACGAAGGAACAGGATGCACTTAACACAGTAGTGAGCAAAGGAGAAATTGGCCTTTGTTTAAGGACTGCACTGAAGTTTTCTATGAATTAACCGAGTCCGCTCATAAAGGAGAAAGGGGAGACCCAGGACATTTTGGTGTCTTCCTATGAAACTCAAACGTGCTTCCTCAAGCGAGTCCTGAGATGGGCTGGGTGATTTCTGAGAAACCCCTTCCAACTCCAACAATTCCTTTTGGGACATCTGCACTGTCCTGCCCGGGCTCAGCCCACTGACCTTTGCCTGAGGACCGCAAGGCAGTGTCTTTGTGCAGGTTCCAACACACACAGCCCCAGAGCCCAGCACAGCTTTTTCTGTCCTCCTGCCCCTTTGGCTCCAGCTGGTAGGAAAACTTAAACCTCCAAGTACCCCGTGCTCAGCAGGAGGGCCTGGGGTTGTCAGCTTCTAAGGAGCGCCTTAAAGAAAGCTGCCCTTTAGAATACCCACAGCCTGACAAGGAGCAGTGGCGGTGACCTGCACCTTCTTTGCTTCAGTCCCTGGCAGAGAGCTAACCAAGGGGAGAAGGCTGCTTCCGAGCATTGACAGGATTCTCCACTGCCAGCCAACAGAGAGAAGAGACCTCGAACACGCTTCACTCAAACAAGACATTTGAGAGAAAATGACAGTTTAAACCAAATCATTCCTCTACAGAGCACCCCTGTCTAGTGCCTGCAACAGCATTTACTGCTCTGCTTCAGCACCAGAACACGTAGGCTTCTTTGGTCTGAAACTGCCAGCATCGTTTCAGCTCTTACTCTCCTTCCCTCCGGCCGAGTGCTCCACAAACCCAACACCGCAAGCCTCTGGCAACCTCCTCTCCTTCACTAGCACACACACCCCGAGAGCCCCCCCACCACATCCCCCCTCCCCTTTCCAAACATCAGCCTTCCAAAGCAAAGTTTCCCAGAGCTGCTCCTACGGACGAGGATAAACATTTGCTGAATCGATTGGTAACGTTCGGACTCCGGCACCACCGAGAGAAGGAATGTTGGGCAAACACAGCCAGCGTGGAGCAGTCAGTCACTTGGAGCGCTCTGCTCCCGAGAAACTGAACCATGGCCAGGCAGGGAGCGGGGAGAAACCTCCACGGAATCCATCGAACACATCTCCATCATCTCACTTGAGTTTGGGGGGGGTTTGGTGGCAGCATTACTGTGAGCGGGAAGTTCTCATTCTTCATTAACCTAACAGGGTATGTCTGCACTCCCTCTGATGGTACTGAGTGAATGCTTGCATGTCTCAGAGCTTGATCCTGAAGCTTACTGCTGGGAAGATGGTGTTCCTATAATGACAGCTTTCCCCCAGTGAGTGATAGGGCTCGTGCCCCGGGCAGGAAACAGCCAGGCAATCTGTTCGCTTCACTTCTCTTCTAAATCAGAGCTGAGGAAGGAGGACCCACCCTTCTGGCACACAGACAGCCTGGACATGGACAGGATGTGGAAATGGCTCTGCTCTGCTGCGTGAAACTCCTCGTGTTGCAATTCTGAATCAGCCTCATTTTAAGCTGAGTATGAAACCCATGTCCTTCCCTCAACTTTAACTGCTCCATCCCAGCGGGGCTGAAGTTCCTTCTGCAGAGCCTGCACCAGACGCAGGCCCCTCTGCCCCATCCCTGGCTCTTTGGGACCAGCTCACTGGTACCTCTATCACGGGCAAAAAACTACCCCAGGTTTCCCTCCAACAGCCACTTAGATCCTACCAGGGCAATTCCCTCCTCTCCTGCTGTCTCCTGGCACAAGGAGGAGCTGCGTGAGGCTGCTGCAGAGTCCCTGGAGTGACTCACTGTCACTTTCATCATTTAGGCCATTACCTTTTCTTGTGCTTTGAATTAATACATTTATTCTTTGCCTATTGAAGCATGTAAGCTGCATTTGTCACAGTGCTGCAAAAGTTCCACTACAAAACGATTTCCTGGGCTGTGCTGGCTGCAGTGTCTAAAACTCCCCTTCTCTGTTCTGCCCTGAGCTGATCATCAGGCAGGGGATGGATGAGGCTCTGCGGCATCAAACTGACAGCTTTCCTATACGTGAGCAGGATTTTGCTCACTGCTTTTAAACCCTCTGTGTTTGGGAGGCAGGATGCATAACGTGGTACCCTTCCATTTTCCAAGATTAAGCTTTCCTCCCTCTAATGATGGGTCCAAAAGCAGCCACGGGAAAAGTTTAGAAGCCAAAAGCATCTGCACCATTCTGCCCATTCTGGCTTTCTGCAGCTGTCTTTTCAATCCAAATTTAGCAGTTCCACTTCCAAACCACTACAGAGATTCATCAAGTTTCTAAAAGTGGGGACTCCACATTTATATACTGCATGCAGGACTGAGATGGAGCTTTCAGAAGCTTTGACAGAGGTTCCGAATGCCAAGCTGAAGGAGAAGGGGATGGAGCCGAGAGGTGCAAAACTGCACAGCGAGGTGCTCAAGTCAGCTTTGCGATGAGATGCCAACGTTAGAAGCAAGTATTTTATGTCGTTGACGTCATGAGAGATCACAATACGTCAGCATTAGCATTATGCCAGTTTAGATCTGAAAAATGGCACCAGAACCACCAAAATTATGGAAATAGAGCCATCATTTTAGATTTTGTTCTAACCAGTGTGCCTTCTGATAGACAATCATCTAGCTGGCCCTGAGACTCGCCGCACCCTGGCTTTCAGCTGATCTATAGCAGAGACTGCCAAATTTATAATGGAACTTGTCAGGTTGGCTCTTTTCTATAACCTGAGAGGGAGTTTTTACCTTCAGAAGTTTCAGCTCCCGGCCAGATGATTACCTGTTAAATCAACTGCAAGGAGCTAAACTGAATCCTGCCACTTTGATCATTCAAGCCATTACCTTTGCTTGTGATTGCTCCAGCCAAGCCCAACAGAGACATCACTCACAAGCCCCCAGGTATGTCACAGGGGCTGCACCCTGCAGCCATGCGGAGCCAGGTACTGAAGGCATTGTCCTGCACCAAGCTCTTTGCTGCTTCAGGGTCTTCAACTACATCTTAGCAGGGTCCTGACACTTCAGCGTTCAGGTTGCACAAACCCAGTGTAGAACAAGGTTAAAACTGCTTCCAGGGCTTTTCTTTTCAATGTATGGAAATACTGTCATTTGGAAATCAGCTTTACAAGCACTCTCCTTTAAAATACTGGGTCAAACACTAAATGCTTGTGTTCCTTCATAGATTACAGGAAATCACACAAGTATTTAATGCTTTCCACTGACACCCCAAACCTCTCCATCCTAATGAGCACACCACAGCAGCACCTACGCTGCTACCACAGCTTTGCCCATTCTCCCATTACCATTTGCTGTTGATGTGCCTTAGCAAGACTCCTCATGCTTTCTGAGCTCAAATATGCCAAACCACACACTGGAAGTCCCCACTCCAGGCCCAGGAAACAAAAGCATCTTCCCTGATTTTCAGGGAACCTGAGGTCATGGAAAAATCAAACTCCAATGGAAAGGCAGTCGGGAAGAATTCAGCCCCAAAAGACCTATAGCAAGTGATCCAGCTGGTGAAGAACCAGGGCTCAGGATAAAAACTTGACCAAGGAAGTGCTTTCACCCTGAAGAGCTGTGCAAATGTGATGTTCTTTAAGACGTAATAACTGAACCACTGACAGTCCCTGGTGTCCTGTGCTGGCAAAACACAGAGAGATGAGAAGGGAAAAGACCAAATCCCCCCCTTCCACTTGCCCTCCTTTTGTTGGCAGACTCGGAGCATTCCCACACAGCTATTTGATTAGCTTTGTCCATCTCGGCTGGGATAATTAGCAAATGCTTAAAAGATGAAATCTAAATATAGCAACCAAGCAGCCCTTTCCATGTACTTCCAAGGAACATTACACAAAGCCATTATTTTCACAAGGTAACCACTTTTGTGGCTCTTTAATCTCGTTTCTTCAACTCCCCTTCAAATACTGAACCATTAGGCTAGCTCAGAAATTCCCAGGGGGGTTGCAGGTTTGGTGGTGGTGGGTTGGGTTTTTTTTCCAAGTAAAAAGGGGTGGTGGGTGTACTTTTAAGTATTTCTTTCCCAATTGCATTTCTTGCTTGGTTTTTCCCACCTCAAATTACCGGAAAGGTTTCTCTTCCTTTCTCAGCAGGAGGAAGATGACTTGTCATTACTCTCAATTTTAGGACCTGTTCTTTCCAATATCTAACCTTCCTGCTACCCCAGAATAGCCCTTGTCTGGGCTGGAGTTTTAACCTGCAATATAATGCCATTTTCCCCAGCTGTATAAAAATGATTTGCCAGATGCAGAGAAAAAAAGAGGAACCAACTGTCAGTCTTGCAGACAGTAAAAGTCTGCCCGAGCACATCAGGATGAGCCATTCCGATTGGGAATGATGGATGGTATTGTCTCCTAATCAGACTTGCATAAACTTGTATAATTCAGGATTGGCTGTGGGAAAGGTAATGGAACAGCACCATGTTTATTATCTGCTGCTGCTTC